AGGGTGTCTGTTGTGGGGGGGGAAGGAGATTGTAAGCCGCTCTGAGACTCTGAGTGAAGGGCGGGGTATAAATCCAGTCTCTTATTTTTTATTTTGTTTGTTATTTATTTCCAATTTATACCCCGTCTTGTTGGTAAAAAACTGGCTCTTCTCTTCTTTTCAGTTTCAAAAAGAGACGACTAAGGGAGGGCATGATAGAGGTTTATAAAATTATGGATGGGGTGGAAAGAGCTAACAAAGACAAAGCGAACTTTTTCTTCTCCCAGAATTCTAGAACTCAGGGGCATCCAATGAAGCTGATGGGCAGTAGCAATAGAAAAGACTAAAAGCCCAGTGGCACCTTAAAGACTAACAACATTTGTGGTAGGGTTTGAGCTTTTGTAAGCCTCTCTAAAGACTCCTTTGGGTAGTGAAGGGCAGGGTATAAATGCAGTCTCCTCCTCCTCCTCCTCCTCTTGCTACAGACAGACTAATACAGCTACCCATCTTGATGGGCAGTAGGTTCAGGGTGGACAAAAGGAAATACTTCTTTACACAGAGAGTGACTAAAATGTGTAATTCGCTCCCAGAGGATGTAGTGATGGCCACGGGAACAAATAGCCTTCAAAGGGGGTTAGATAGATTCATGGAGGATAAGTCTATCGATGGCTACTCACCATGGTGACTGAGGGGAACCTCCACGTTCAGAGCCACTAAACTTCTAAATCCCAGAGCCAGGAGGCAGCATCAGGGGAAGGCGTATGAGAGCAAGGGTGGTACAGTGGTTAGAGCATCAGACTAGGATCTGGGAGATGCAGGTTTGTATCCCCCTTCTGTCACAGGTAACCTCAGTCCAGTTGCACACTCTCACCCTCATCTACCTTGCAGGGTCGTTGTTGTGAGGATGGTGGCTCCATACTGGTGGCGGCTCCGTACTGGTGGAATGAGCTCCCGGAGGAGATCAGGGCCCTGCGGGGCCTTTTACAGTTCCGCAGGGCCTGCAAGACGGAGCTCTTCCACCAGGCTTTCCATTAGGAGCTGCCTTAAACACCGAGGAGTTGACCCGTGCCCTGGTTTTACCACCTTCAGTCTATCTCGCCACATACATTACTCGATCAAATTGAGCCAATTTGAGAATACCATCAAGACTATCACTTAAGTAGTGGTACAGTTGGATTTAGGAATCTCTACTCTGCACTTTAATTGTTTCTGGCACTTTTGAAAATGGATAGTGATTGTTTATGGATGTTTTATGTATGTTTTTAATTGTATTTATATATGCATTTTATGTAAGCCGCCCTGAGCCCACCTTGGCGGGAAGATTGGGGTATAAATCGGACGAATGAATAAATAAATAAAATGGAGGAGAGGGGAATGGTGTAAACTCCCCCCCCCCGGAAGTAAACAGACTCACACGAAGCTGCCTTTTGCAAAATCAGACCCTTGGTCCATCATGCTTAGTATTGTCTACTCAGACTAGCAGCATCTCTCCAGAGCCTTAGGCAGAGGTCTTTGGTGTCACTGATCCTTTTTAACTGGAGATACTGGGGACTGAACCTGGGACCGTCTGCATACAAATCCGGCAGTACAGTATGTAATAAGCTGAGACTGCTTGGGTATAGCATACAGTGTTGTTACCAAGTACCATACTCATTGCTGTAAAAATTGTACCACTGAAGTGTTTGAGAGGGGGTTACTTTATTTACATATTTGTTATTTCTAGTCTGCCTTTCTCAGTTTGGTGTAGTGGTTAAGGGCACGGACTCTAATGTGGAAGAACCAAGTTTGATTCCCCACTCCTCCCCATGCAGCTGCTGGGTGACATTGGGCAAGCCACAGTTCTCTCAGAGCTGTTCTCAAAAGAGCAGTTCTCAAAAGAGCTCTCTCAACCCCACCTGCCTCACAAGGTGTCTGTTGTGGGGAGAGGAAGGGAAGAGGATTGTAAACTGCTCTGAGACTCCCAGTGAAGGGCGGGGTATAAATCTAATATCTTCTCCTCCTCCTCCTCAAGGTGGATTACACAGTCAGTACAGTCAACAAAATGGGACAGTCAATAACCAATGCATTAGGATTTTAGAAGTCTGGAACCACCAGAACAAACTGAAGCATAGCATAAGTATTAACACAACCTATTAAGCGATACAGAGATTACCCGTTAGCAGGGGTCATTTCCTGTGGGAGCGCACAGGAGCGGAGCTCCGGCAGTAAGGAGCCCAGGGGGCGGGCACATGCAACAAGCCCCACCCCCTGCTCCCAGCAGCCCTCAGTCAGGCCACGAGGAGCAAGAAGCAGCAAGGAAAGTTGCAGAGCCCC